AACACACAGCCCTTCCTATAATCCACCTGAAACTGTGGGTAAGATACGTGGAAGACACATTCGTAATAATCAAATGCACAAAAGTAGAAGAAACCCACCAACTTGTTAACAACATCTTTGCAAGCATCAAATTCTCTAGAGAGGAAGAAAAGAACAACCCGCTCCCGTTCTTAGATGTAATGGTAGAGAGACTGACTAATGGCAAATCCCGGACCCAAGTATACAGGAAGGCCACACACACGGACTAAATCCTTCACTTCAATAGAAACCAGACCACCATACACAAACAGAGCTGCATCAAGACACTATTTAAGTGAACAATAATGCACTGCAATACCCCAGAAATCCAGAGAATGGAAGAGGAACACCTGCACAAAATATTTACGACAACAGATACCCAAGATGTTTCATCCATCCATGCCTACAAAACAAACGACAGTCAGAGGACACGGTACAACAGAAGACACTAGTAACTCTACCCTACAACAAAAATATATCGGAAATGACAACCAGACTCCTTAGACCGCATAGGATCATGATTGCACACAAACTTACATCAACACTGCATCAAATGCTATCAAAGACTAAAGACCCCATACTGACAGTAAGCAGGACTAACATGATATATGAATCCCATGCAGCACGTGCAATAAACATTACATTGGACAAACAGGGAGGAAACTGACGACCAGGATACAGAAACACCAGCTGGCAATAAAAAGACACAACCAATATTCACTTGTCTTGATACACACAGACAAGCAGGGCCATCAGTTTGACTGGGACAAAGTGACTATACTTGGACAAACAAGCAATAGACATGTAAATGAATTTCTGAAGGCCTGGTTCTCAACACGGGACTCCATTAACAAACACGCAGAAATAGACCCCGTATGCAGACCACTTCTAAAAAAAAAGACCCAGAAGTGACAAGGCCCACCACACTAGAGGATCATATAAATTCAGAACAGAGCAGAACACCAACACTTTGATTAGAAGTCGCACTGATGATGTTGCCAAGAACGGTAACTAAACGTCTGCACACCACGAAACAATCGGCTCAGCGAGTAAACGAACAACTGAATGTGAACTCCACGCTGTCTCCATTGTCCAGTGATGACAATGTAAACTCCACATTGTCTGTAGTATACACCTTTGATAAATGTGAAATCTCCATTATCCATTGGTGACAATATGAACTCCATATCATCTCCATTATTCTTTAGCGTCATGAACTCTACACTGTCTCAGTTATCCATTAGTGACAATACGAACTCCACAGTGTCTCCGTTATCCATTTGTGACAATGTGAATCCCAAACTGTCTCCATTATCCATTCGTGACATTTTCAAAACAAAAACTCCATTATTCATTTGTGACAATGTAATCTTCACACTATCTCTATTATCCACTTGTGGCAATGTGAACTGCACACTTGTCTTCATAATCCAATACTGATAACATGAAACCCACATTGTCCCCATTATCCACTAGTGACAATGTGTTGGGGAGGGTGAGTGGGATGAGGACAAGGAGAGTGACAGGGAGGGGGACTAGAACAGATTACAGAATCAGAGTTGTTATGGCACAGAAGATAGTCCAGATCTAGATCATTAATATATATCAGGAAAAGCAAAGGTCCCAATATCGGCCCCTGGCCAACTCGACCACAAACCTTCTGCCAGCCCAAAAATTATCTATTGACCATTTTGTTCTGCTTCCTATTACAGCCTATTTTGCATCTGTGTTGCCACTGTCCCTTTTATATTGTGACCTATAACTTGCCTCACAGGTTTGTTGTGTGGCATTGTATAAAACACCTACTGGAAATCTGTGTACACCACATCAACAGCATAACCCTCATTGAGCCTCTTTAAAAAGTTCCAGCAATTAGTTAAACATGATTTTCCCTTTAGAAATCCATGCTGACAGATTCCTCATCTGCTGCCCTCCTTTTCCTACAATCTCCCAAGATTAAAATGACTCTAGTAGGTTTTGATTCTCGGAATAACTTACTTTGCCTACAATCATGCTGTTGAAGATATCTTCAAGCTGGCTGGACATGAGAATCAAACCTTGAATTGCTTTATTGATGTCTCTCAGGCTGGTTCTGATAATGGATATCAGACGGTTAAAATGAAGCAGTTCCTGTACCAGCACTGTGTTCATTGATTCACTGTACTTGGTTGGGTATCTATTCTGTGAATTAAATAGAAATATGAGTCAGGTAAAATGAAACAGTAATAAGATAAACAGAGTCATGAGAAAGGAAAACACAAGCAGATAAAACAATGGAAAGTTTATGACACAGAAGGAGGACATTCAGTCCATTGTGTCTGTGCCAGCTAAATAAACTAGTTGTCCATTTCTAATCCCACATTACAGTGCCTGATCCAGACACTTGCAGCTTAAGTGCTTCAGGGCAGATCCAGGTTCTTCCAAAATGAGTCGAGAGTTTCTGTTTCAACAATCAATTGGGGCAGCTAATTCCATACAACCACCACTGTTTGGGTGAAAAGGTATTTTCTTGTGTCCCCTCGAATCTTCTAACAATCATTTTAAATCTCTGTCCTCTAGTAATTGACCTCTCCAGGAGGGGAAACAGCTCTTCCCTGTTCACTTTATCCAAACCCCTCATTATTTTGTAAAGTTCAAAGAAGTCATTTCTCAGACTCTGCTGTTCTAATGAACACAGCCATAACCTATCCAATTTGTTCTTATAGCTGCAACTTTCAAGGTCTGGCAACATTCTTCTCTGTACTCTCTCCAGTAATGCAGTGACCTAACTGTACGCAAAACTCCAGCTGTGGCCTGCATCTTAGAGATTTTTAATCAACCTGTTCAGATATGTTACGATACACCTCTCAAGCAGGTGAAACTTGAATCAAGGCTTTCTGGCCCTGAGGTAGGGACAGTACCTGTGTGCCACAGGAGCCCTCCAATGTCAATTCTAGCATTACATCCCTGCTGTTGTATTCGTGACCTTTCCCAACAAAAGAAAGTATCCCATATACCTTCTTCACTACCTTTATTTATCTTTTCCAACACCTTCAAAACCTGTGGACATGCATTCCGGGGTCTCTCACTTGCTCTACTCCTCTCAATATCCTTCTGTATATTACGTATTCCCTTGCTTCCTTTGCCCTTCCCAAATGCATTACCTCCCATTTTTCCCAGACTGAATTCCATTTGCCACTTTTCTGCCCATTCCACCAAACCAGTGATACATTCCTGCAGTTGACAGCCATCCTCTTCACTGTCAACTACCCGGCTAATTTATGTGTGGTCTGCAAATTTTCTAATTGTGTCGTCCTCATTTCAGTCTAAATCATTAATATGTGCCACAAACAGAAAGCATCCCGACACTGAGGGAACAGCACTGGAAACCACTTCCCTTCATAAAAACATTAATTGACTATTACCCTTTGTTTCCTGTCACTTAGCCAGTTTTGGATCCAACTCATCACATTCCCCAGTATTCAATGGGCATTCATTTTTCTGACTTTAGGAACAGGAGAAGGCCATTCAGCCCCGTGAGCCTGTTCCACCATTCAGTAAAATCATGGCTGATTGGTAACCTGACTCAATATACTTGTGAGACAACAAGGTGCAGGGCTGGATGAACACAGCAGGCCAAGCAGCATCATAGGAGCAGAGAGGCTGACGTTTCGGGCAATATACTTGTGTTTGGGCCTTAATACCTTAGCTTAACAAAAAAATTAACTAACTCAGATTTAAAATTAACAACTGATCCAGCATCCACTGGTGTTTGTGGAAGAGAATTCCAAACATCTACCACCCTTTGTATGTAGAAGTACTTCTGAACATCTCTCCTGAATGGTCTAGCCCTAATTCTCAGACAGTGTCCCCAGTTCTAGAATCCCCAACCAGTTTATCATTATCTACCTTGTCTTTTCCTGTTAATATCTTGAAGACTTTGATCAGAGCACCATTAAACTTCTAAACATGAAAGAAAATAGACACAATTTGTATAATCCCTCCTCTTAATTTATGTCACTTCAAGTGCTCATCAAAGTACTTTTTAAAAGGGTTGTGAGGTTTCTCACGTCAACTACTCTCAGCACCCTCTGGGTAGAAAGCTTTTCCTCCTTACTGCAACTGTACAAGATACTGGACAGAGAACACCTGGAGTACTGGGAGCACTTTTTATCCCCTTATTTAAGAAAAGATATTGCTACACTTGCGGTAGTTCAAATTTGGTTCACAAGGATGATCCCTCATATGGAGGGATTGTCTTAAGAGCAAAGATTAAACAGGTTGGGACTGTACTTCAGAAGAATAAGAGGTGATCTCATTGAGACATAAAATGTTTCATGAGGTACTTGACAAGGTGAATGCTGAGAAGATGTTTCCCCTCCCGGGAGAACCTAAGACCAGAGATCATAGTCTCAGAATAAAAGGGGGTCAGTTTAAGACTGAGGCAAGGAGAATTCTTTTCTCTCTGAGGGTTGAGAGCATTTGAAACTTCTTGCCACAGAGAGAGATGCAGGGGCAGATACTTTTTGTATATTTAAAATTGAGCTAAATAGATTCTTGATCAGTCGGAGAATCAAGGGTTATGGGGAAAGGGCAGGAAAATGGAAGTGAGGAGTGTTGGATCAGATCTACGGAACAACGAACCAGCTCGGCGAGCCAACCAACCACAAAATCCACAACCCCAGCTACAAATCTACTCTAAAACCATAGAGCCATGATCCTATTGAATGGTGGAGCAGGCTCAAGGGGCTGAAGGTCGTATTCCTGTTCCTATTTCTTATGGTGATATGGTCGAATCCCCCCCAAAACCCCTGCCTTTCACTTTAAAATGATGCCTGCTTATAATTGACCCTCTGACCAAGGGAACAGATGTTTTCTATTCACCTTGTTCGTGCCCCTCAATCTTATATTCCTCTACCAGGTCCGTTCTTAAATGTCTCAGCTCCAAAGAAAACATCCTGAGCTTATCCAGTCTCTCTTCATTGCTGAAATGCTCCATCCCAGGCAACATCCTGACGAATCTCCTCTGTACTTCTTCCAGTACAATCAGATCCTTCCTATTGTGTATGACCGGGCTGCACATTGGTTAAGCCATAACTGGAGTACAAAGTTCTGTACAGCACCAACCTAACCCTCCTTCTCTTATAATCTATGCCTTGATTAATAAAGGCAGGTGTCTTGTATGCCTTCTTACCTGCCCTATTAACTTTTCCTGCTATCTTCAGGAATCTGTGGATAAGTGCCTCAAGATCCCTCTGTTCCCCTGAGCTTCCTAGTGTCCTGCCATTCACTGAGTGCTCCTTTGTTTTGTTTCGTCTTCCAAAATGCATCACTTCACATTAATCAGGGTTACATTCTATATGCCACTGATCTGCCATCTGACCAATTTGTTTCTATCCTCCTATAACTTATCACCTTCTTTCTTACTGTCAACCACCAACCAACCTTTGTGTCATCCATAAATTTATGTATCATCTCCCCCTCCCACATTTACATCTGTATCATTTATGAGTAATACAAACAATGAAGGATCCAGCATGATCCAAGTGGTATGCCACTGGATACCAATCTCCAGTCACAAAAATGGCCTTTATTGCCACCTGCTGTCTCCTGATACTAAGCCAGTTTTGGATTTAACAAGACAAGTTACCCTGGATCCCATGTTCTTTTACCTTTTTTATCAGTCTTCCATTTGGGACCTTGTTAAGGGCCTTGCTGAAATCCATATAAACTACATCAACTGCCCTCATCTCATCCAACACTTGGTCGCCTCCTTGAAAAATTCCACCAGATTTTTTAGGCATGCCCTGCCTCTGACAAAGCCATACTGACGATCCCTAATCAACCCTTGCCTCTCTAAAAAGAGATTAATTTTCTCCTTCACTATTTTTCCTGCTACTGATGTGAGATGTACTGGTCTATAATTCCCTGGTTTTTCTCTACCACTCTTCTCGTAAAATGGAACCACATTACCTGTCCTCCAGTCCTCTGGTACCTTCCCTTTGGCCACAGACAATTAAAACTTTAGATCAGGGCCCAAAGGTCACAAAACACTGACAAGTGGCAGTGGACAGAAATAACCAGAAATGTTGTCAGATTGATAGTCAGCGATAGCCAGAATTGAGGTTGTTGACTTGCTCGCCAAGCTGGCTTGTTCTCGTTCAGACATTTCGTCACCATGCTAGGTAACATCATCAGTGGAGCATCCGATGAAGCAATGTTATTCTACTCCGCTTGAAATTTATACTGATTGGTCCATTATGGTGAGTAGTGTCATTTCCGGTTTTGATCTGTATGGGTTTGTATGTGGTGTCCAATTCTGTGTGTTTGTTGATTGCATTTCGGGTGGAGAACCATGCCTCTAGGATTTCCCGTGTGTGTCTATGTTTGGCTTGGGCTACCATGGTTACATTGTCCCAGTTAAACTGATGGCCTTCATTTTCTGAGAATGAAAGAACTCAGACAGTGAAGGCCATCAGTTTAACTGGAACAAGGTAACTATAGTAACCCAAGCCAAACATAGACATGCATAGGAATTCCTAGAGGCATGGTTCTCCACCTGAAATGAAATCAACAAACACATAGAGTTGGACACCATATACAAACCCATACCGAACAAAACCGGAAATGACACTACTCACCATAACAGACCAGTCAGTATAAATTCTAAGTGGAGTAGAATAACATTGCTTCATTGGAAGCTCCACTGATGATGTTACCTAGCATGGTGACGAACCGTCTGAACGAGAACAAGCCAGCTCGGCGAGCAAGTCAACAACCTCACCCACAACCCAAGCTACAGATCTTTGTCAAAACTTTAGATAGCTAGAATTACAGTCACAAATGGTGGAAAGATTATATAGATTATAGATTATATAGAATCCCTACAGTGTGGAAACAGGCCCTTCGGCCTGTTCAGAGTGATGGTGTTAAAATATTTCCTTGGGTGGAGAAGTTCAGAACAAGGAAGGAACATTGGCTTCAATTTCAAGCTAAGCTGTTTAGGGGCAATATCAAGAAGACTTTTTCATGTAAAGAAGGAATGGAAATTTGAAACTTTCCTCCCAAATATTTCAGAATCTCAATCCTGAGAATGATAGATATTTTTTGGGGAAGATATTTGGGAATACGTAATTTAGGTCAGTAGATGAACTTCAGATCCAGATGAGACTAGCCCTTAGTGAATGAAGGATCAGACTCAGGGGGCTGAATAGCTTGTCTTGCTCCAATGACATTTGGAGGAGAAAGTAATGATTGGGAAACTAAAGGATTGGAGATAATTGGAAAACATTTGTGAGAAAAAGCATAATATTAAAAGGTGTTCAGTTTCAGAGTAGGCTTCTAGTTGAGGAAGGTGTGACTGAAAATGTACAGGTTACAGACGTTCTAATTCATTGACAGACTGAAAGAGAGTGAATTGCAGTGTAAGGGGAAGCAATGGCCTAGTGATATTATCGCTGGACTGTTAGTCCAGAGATCCAGGTAATGTTCTGCCCTCTGATCCTAGACTCTCCCATGAGGGAAACATCCTCTCAGCATTTACCTGTCAAGCTTGTTAAGAATCCTATATGTTTCAATGAGATCACATCTCATTCTCCAGTCAGTAGTGTCCCACCCCATTTATCCTTTGCTCAAGATACTGTCCATAACAGGGATCATCCTAATGAGCCTTCTCTGAACTGCCTCCAATGAAATGATATTTTTCCTTTAATAAGAGAACCAAACTGCTCATAGTACTCCAGATGTGGTCTCACCTTGTACAGCTGCAGCAAGAATTAAGTCTTATACTTTTATCCTGTTCGCTTATCCTCCAACCCCCTTGTAATAAGGGCTACTTTTTCCATTAGCTGTCCTGATTACTGCATATGCTCCATCTTTGACTTTTGTGCACAAGTACTCCGAGTCCCTTTGTGTTGCAGCTTTCTGTGGTTTTTCTCCATTTAAATAATAGTTTGTTCATTCGTTCTATCTTCCAAAATGAACAAATTCAAAGTTTCCCACATTATATCCTTTTTGCCAACTTCTTGCCCACTTACTTAACCCCTCATTATCTCTCTGTAAACTGCATCCCTTTCACAACTTGCCTTTCAACCTATTTTTGTGCCATCTGCAAATTTGGCTACAGTGCATTCACTTCCTTCCTCTAAGTCAATATATATTGGAAAGAGTTGTGTTCCCAGCACTGATCCCTGTGGAATTCCAATGGTTACAGGTTGCCAACATGAAAAATAACCCATTGGTCCCAGGACACCAATTTCACTTACTGAACCAAAATTACAGAGCAGAGCTCCCAGCATTACAAATGTGCACTATTTCTCACCATCACATCCTCCATTACAAAGTCAGATGGGATTTTGGATAGAATATCTGTGGCCAGTTCCTGCACGATCTCAGATGACGATCTGTCTCCTCCACTGACCTGCAAGCAAGAAACAGTTTGCAATTCAGAGACTATTGTTTCCTCCTCTTGTCTAACATCCAGATATCTCCACTATTCAAGTGAAATATTACTATACTAAATCCCTGCAAGATGAAGACCTGAATTGTGCATCCTGGGACTGCTAACATTGTCACTCTAACTCAGAATGTAAATATGGTGTACAAATTCCTCAGGGGTAATAATGGAGGTTAAAATTCAATTGAGCAGCTCATGTGGCTGCTTGAGATTTTACAGTGCTCTGTGACCTTTCAAAGTTATTCACATTGTTTAATCCGAACCATCTAATCTTATCTGATATAACTATTGTTTCACAGATAACAATTGATGGTTCTGATGATAGCCATTGTTCTAGCAGGTAGATTTCCATTTGAAGAATAAAGCTGAGCATTTTTGTCTCAGTGTTGGGCAGATTTTTCTTCAAGTGTGTTGTGTACCCACAGGGTGACAGTCTTGTATCATCTGTCAGAATAACAGAACCATGAGTAAGAAACAAGCTACTGCTAGATGGAGCTGTCACTCACAGAACTGTACTCACATAGATCAAAAACATATGCATCTGAATAAGGCAGGGCTCACCTCTCGGGGCAGTGTGCTCAGGATCCCATCAAAAAGCCTCTGTGTCTCCTTCTGTTCCTTCGTGATATTTGCATTTTCGTGCAACCCAAAGACCTGAACAAGACATGAATGGGAGAAACTGACTAGACACATCAAAAGATATGTTTAGTCTAGACCAAGGTCAGCACTGAACCAATCTAAAAGGATCCATCTCATTCACTGTTGTTATTCTGGGCTCCACTATTTAATGATTGAGATTTTGGAGAGGGTGCAGATGAGTGGCAACGTGCCTTTCCAGCACTGCTTATGGGTCAGGAGGAACAGAAGTGTTTCCCTCCGGGACTCTGCAGGAAAAGCTGCTGCAGGCATCCTCCATAACTAGCATGTCACCCTGTCTAGATGCCAAATGGGAATAAGCATGCACATAAACAAATGATATTAAATACAACAATAACCTCTCCAAAATGATTAAGACTGGCCAATTGCATTCACCCTTAGTCCTTACACCTCACCCACCCTAGTCTCACAGCCTCTAATTGTACCTCTGGATCTGCATTGAGAGGTAATTGCTTTATGTATTCCAAATAACTCTCATAGCTATTTCTCCTGGGGATGAGATAGATGCCGCTGGCAGAGAATTTGTAGCAATCATCACTGATGACACTTTGACAGTAGAAGTTCTCCAGGAGGCTGAGGAGGAGCCGTCGATCATGATCGTCTGTCACACGGCCACCATAGTTACACTCTCCCGTAAGGTAGATCAGAGCTTCGAAAGGAACCTGATTGTATTCATTCAGGAATATCTGTGGACATATTGCAATAGATCAGACACTTTATCTACTCTGCAATCTGCATCTGAAAGTAAATCATTTTGCTCAGGCAAAAGAAGAAGATGCATTTACTTGATATCAATCACCCTCTCAGGACATCCCAGAGTACTTTACGGGCAAAGTAGCACTTCATTAATACTGGGCTGGAGTGTCAGTTTGAATTACGTAAGCTAAGTTTGTGGGCTTGGCTGTAGGACTGCATTCTCATCAGGTTCAAATCTGACTCCAGGGATCTGAGCACAGAAACTAGGCTGACATTGCAGTGCAGGGCAGAGAGAGTGTTACATTGTCAGAGGTGCTGCCTCTCAGATGATTCATTAAACTGAGGTCCTACCTTCCCCCTCAAATCGGCATTAAAGATCCCATGGCACTATTTTGAAGAGCAGAAGAATTCTACCTGAATCATTGAAATTGGCTGAAACATTATCTGGCTACTTACCTCAAAACGGTTTATGGGAGCTTGGTGTTGAACATTAGCTGCCACACTGGCTACTTTACAACAATGACTATACTTCAAAGTTACTGGAGTACCCTGCTTTTTGCAGTAGACAGTAATAAACGTCTTATTGGACCACAACGCTGCTCTTTCATTAGAGAGAGAGAGATAACTTGGCGGTGGTTTAAACTGAGGGTCACCACACTTCAGGCGAGGGTTACCTTTATGGTAACCACAGCTGGTGTGGTAATTGAACCCACACTTTTAGCATCAATCTGCATCGCAAACCAACTGTCCAAACAACTTGAGCTAACCAATACCTAGACACTAGTGATCTCATAAAAATATTACGCTATTACAGAAACATGGCTTAAAAAGTGACTCCATATTGATGGAATGGTAACTCCATATTCCTGGATACAGAAATTTTAGAAAAAAAATCAAGGGGAATTAAAAAAAAGGAGGGCACTGGCAATTTTGGTGGAAGGAAAATGACATCTATGAGGAAAATGATAAGTAGAAGGATCATCAGATGAGGACATATCAATTGAGCAAAGGAGATAAGAAGGAAAATTGAGGCAGTTACACTACTGCAAGTGACCCAGAACAGTCAGAGGGAGATCAAAAAAACAAATACGTAGCAAATCTCTGAGCACTGCAAAATTCACAAGGCAGTAATAGTAGGCGATTTTAACTATCCCAACATCAATTGAGATAGTTTTAGGGCTTGGTTTAGAAGGAATGGAGGGAACAGAATTCTTGAGATGCATTCAGAAGAAACGTTTTGACTACTTCAACGATATAATGCACAGTTTGGAACATTTTTTATTCATTCATGGGATATGGGCGTCATTGGCTGGGCTAGCATTTATTGCCCACCTCTAATTTCCCTTGAGAAGGTGGTGGTGAGCTGCCTCCTTGAGCTGCTAGAGTTCATTTGCTGCACATTGTGAGTCTACAATGTTATTAGAGAGGGAGTTCCAGGATTTTGAACCAGCAACATTGAAGGAATGGTGATATATTTCCTAGAACTGAAATGACTGACCTCCAACAACGACAACTGTCTTCCATTTTGCCAGTAATGACTCCGAACACTGCAAAGTTTCCCTCCGATTCCCATTGACTTCGGTCTTGCTCAGGTTCCTTGAAGCCACAATTGGTCAAATGCAGTTTTAATGTCAAGAACAGTCACTGTCATCTCGACTCACGACCCTCTCTTAGTTTTAGGAAATGAAGCTGGGCAACTGGTAGCAGTGACAATGGGAGCATTTGTGGTCGTAATGATCATAATTCAGTTTTATGATAATTATGGAAATGGTGAAAAACGGGGCAGAAGTTAAAGTTCTAAATTGGGGTAAGGCCAATTTAACTAAGTTAATGAGTGATTTAGCAAAAGTGAACCGGGAACAGGTACTGAGGGTAATCAGTGTTCGAGCAGAAGGTAGCATTCAAAGGGACATTTAGGCATTCAGAGTAAACATGTCCCAGAACGTAAAAGACTGAAATGATCAAATCTAGACCTCCACCCAGATGTCAAGGAGTATGCAGGGTAAGATAAAACAGAAAAGAAAAGCTTATGTCAGACACTAAGAAATGTGAATTGCAAAAAGCTGAGAGGAGCAGAGAGAATACAGGGGTGAAATAAAAAAGGAAATTAGGAAAGCCAAAGGCAGGGCACAAAAGAATACTGCAAGCAAAATCGAGAAACTAAAGGTGTATTATCGATGAATTAGGTGTAAGGGAATATCTAAGGAAAGAATAATGTACATGTAGAGGCCTCTCTACCAGGACTGGGGAATAGCTGGTGTTGTTACTTTGTTTAAAAATAGAGCAAGGGTTAAACTGAATAATTACAGGCCAGTCAGTCAAACCTCAACAACAGGAAAAATTATTGGATTCATTTCTGAGAGACAGAATAAGCTATTACTTCGGCTCAAAGTAATCAAAGATAGCAGCATGGAATTGCTACATCGAGAGACAGTGTCTGACTAACTTGATTGAATTTATTGATGAAATAAGAAGTTGGAGTGATGAGATTAATGCAGCTAGAGAGTCACAGAGTTTATACAGCATGGAAAGGTACCCTTCGGCCCATCGTGTCTGTGCTGGTCATCAAAATTACACAATGTGCTCTACATGGATTTTAGTAAGGCTTTTGACAAGGTCCCACGTTACATAAGATTTAAAAATAAATTTTCCCTTATTAATATAACAATCATAGAATCCCTACAATGTGGAAGCAGCCTATTGAGTCCGCACTGACCCTTCCAAACGGCACGGTGGCTCAGTGGTTAGCACTGCAGCCTCACAGTGGCAGGGACCCGGGTTTGATTCCAGCCTCGGGCGGCTGTCTGTGCGGAGTTTGCACGTTCTCCCTGTGTCTGCGTGGGTTTCCTCCCACAGTCCAAAGATGTGTAGGCTAGGTGGATTGACCAGGCTAAATTGCCCATAGTGTTCAGGGGTATGTGGGTTATAGGGGGATGGGTCTGGGTGGGATGCCCCAAGGGTCAGTGTGGACTGGTTGGGCCGAAGGGCCTGTTTCCACACTGTAGGGATTCTATGAAACAGCATCCCACCTCCCTACCCTATCCCTGTAACCCTGCATTTCCATAGCTAACCTACAGATCACTGGACACCATGGGCAATTTAGCATGGCCAATCCACCTAACCTGCACATCTTTGGACTGTGGGAGGAAACCAATACAGACACAGGGAGAATGTACAAACTTTATACAGTCACCCAAGGGTGGAATTGAATCTAATCTTTAGCGCTGTGAGGCAACAGTGCTAACCAGTAAGCACTATGACACCCACAATAAAATTTCACTTATCTGCAGCTGGAAGATTGTTTCAATGGGGTTCCATAGAATTCAGCTCCAGATCCCCTACTTCAGGGTGATATATTAATGATTTGGACTTAAATGTCCAGGGCATGCAGATGACACAAACATTGGTGATAGGAAGATAGCTTGAGGCTGCAAGAAGATAATTGACTGATCAGGTGGGTGGAACAGTGACAAATGGAGTACAGCTGGAGAAGTGCATGGTGATGAATTTAGGGGGACAAACATGGCAAAGGAATATTCAATAAATGGGACAATACTGAGGGGTGTAGAGGAAATGAGGAACATTGGGGTGAAAGTCCATAAGTTCCTGAAGCAAGTGGATAGGTTGATAAGTTGGTTAGGAAAGTGTATGAAATAACATCAGGGAAACCAGAATAGAACAGGACCAGATAATGATATCCTTCAACGTAACAGCACTATTTACATCCATAAACATCGACCTAGCCAAAGAGCCAAATGGCTGGATGAATCAGGAAGGCAGGCACCCCACGATACCAACAGCATCAACAAGGACAGCACCTGCTGGATCTGTGCCTCACAACCCACTTCACCTTCAACGACCATCTATTCAAACAAATCAAAGGAACACCAATGGGATCCCCAATATCAGGATTGATTGTAGAATTGGTAATGCAAAGGTTGGAATGGACAGTACTCCCCACTATACAACCCAAATTCTGGTTCCGCTATGTAGATGACACCTTCATGATTATCAAACACACAAAATTAGAAGAAACCCACTAACACATAAACAACACCCTCACCGGAATAAAATTCCTAGACATAATGGTAGAGCGTAAGAACAATGGGGAACTCCAGACTAGTGTATACAGAAAGACCACACATACGGACCAGATACTTAATTACACCAGCAACCACCCCAACACTCATAAATGGAGCTGCGTCAGGACATTATTCAAACAAGCCACAATACACTGCAGCAACCTGGAATTAAGCAAAGCAGAAAAGGAACACCTATACAGAGTTTTTAAAAGGAATGGGTACCCAAAAAGCACAATCTGCCGTTACCTCCACAACACACCACAACAAGACGACAACACGGCTAGACACACTAGACACCCTACTGTACATCAGAGACATATCAGAGATGACCACCAGACTACTCAGACCCTTATGTATCAGGGTAGTCCACAAACCAACAACCACCCTGCGGCAGCTACTGACAAACATAAAGGATCCCATACCCACAACCAATAAAACTAACATAGTATATAAAATACCATGCAAGGCCTGTGAGAAACACTACATAGGCCAAACTGGAAGAAAACTGACAATAAGGATACATGAACACCAACTAGATACCAAGAGACACGACCAATTCTCACTGGTCTCAGTACACACGGACAAAGAAGGACACAAATTCGACTGGGACAACATATCCATAACAGCACGAGCCAAACAGAGATATGTCAGGGAATTCCTGGAGGCCTGGCATTTCAACCAGAACCCCAACAAAAAACACATTGAACTGGATCCGATATACAAACCACTGAAAAACAGAACTGGAAGTGATGCCAATCACCCCAGCAAACCGAGGCATATAAATAACAAGTGGGACAGAACACCAACACTTCACCGGAGCCACACTGACAATGTTACCTAACAGGGTGATGAAATGTCTGCAATCAAACACCCCGGCTTGGTGAGCAAGTCTGCAACCTCATCCACAACCTGAGTTACAAATCAAATCAAAAACTTTAAATACTTTCCTGTATTCATTGAAGCATAGGATATAAAAGAGGTTATGCTGGAGCTTTTAAAAAAATGCTATTTAGACTATAACTTGAGAACTGTGTGCGGTTCTGGTCACTTAATTACAGAGAGAATATAATTGCACTGGAGAGGACACAAAGGAGATGTAGCAGGATTTTGCCAGGACAAGAAAAATATAGCTATGAGGACAGATTGGTAAGGGCAGGTATTGTTCTCCCTGGTACAGAGAAGGCTAAGAGGAGATCTGGTTGAGATGTATGGGGTTGAGAGCGCTCTGGATTGGGTAGTTGGGAAGGAGCTATTTCCCTTAGGAGGGAGGCAAGTGACTTAGGGATATAGATTGTTAAAAGCATTCGAGGGAAGATGAGAAATATTTTCACCCAGATCATGGTCCAGGGTGGTCTGGTAGGTTCTGCCTGTAGTAGAGGCAGAAACCCTCGAAACATTTAGGAGGTGCCTGGAGATGTACCTCAAGTCCCACGGATTTCAAGTGCTGGGAAATGGGATTAGTTATGGATGACACAATGGGCAGAGTAGCTTCCTTCTGAGCCATAACTTTCCCGCATTTTCTAAATATTCTAAATATCTGAGGAGGAGGAATGTAAGAGGTTGTGGGGAAAGGGCATGAGATGGACTGTACTTGAGCTGTTCCCTAGGAAGGCCAGCATGGACACAATGGGTTGAACGTGGAATGTGAAGAGCCCTCAGTAAGGACTCAGTTGAGGGTGCTCTTGGTTGTCTCCAGAGGTGGGGCTGGAGACCTCATGCCAGCTCAGGGGGACGAGCAGCCTGGGAGGTAGGGGATGGAGTAAGGGACAAGATGCTACAGTGCATGGACACTGCCAATTGACAGTATGTTCCAGTGTAGGACGGGGACACCAGAACATTAACCAAAAGTTTCAGAGAAAATGTGGGAAAAGCCTTTACATCAACTCATTCAATTCACCAATGCTTTATACCAGAATATGTAGTAATAAATAAATGGGCAGCAATTGAAAAATATACAAACATATGAAATGGGAGCAGGAGTATGCCATTTGGTCCTTAGAGTCTGTTCCGCCATTTCAATAACGTCATGGCTGATATGTTTGTATTCCAAATTCCATATTCCCATTTACCCAGAAAACTTTTCATTTCCCTATCTATTCATTTGTCTTAAAAATATTCAATGAATATTAAATCAAATATTTGATATTCAAAAACCTCCACCTCCCTCTGAGGCAGAGAGTTCCAAAGTTTCACAACCTTCAGAGAAGACATTTCCCTTCATTGCTGTTCTAAAAGGGCAACCCTTAATTTTAAATAGTGCCCCCAGCTCTGGGCTCAGTTATAGAGTCATACAGCTGTACAGCATGGAAACAGACCCTTTGGTCTAACTCATCCATGCCGACCAGATATTCTAAATTAACCTAGTCCCATTTGCCAGCATTTGGCCCATACCCCTCTAAACCCTTCCTGTTCATATACCCATCCAGATGCCTTTTAAATGTTGTAATTGTACCCGCCTCCACCACTTCCTCATTCATTACACGCACCACCCTCTGCATGAAAAAGTTGCCCCTTTGGTCCCTTTTAAATCTTTCTCCGTTCACCTTAAACCTATGCCCTCTAGTTTTGGACTCCACTACCCTGGGGAAAAGACCTGGGCTATTCACCCTATTTATGACCCTCGTGATTTTATAAACCTCTATAAGGTCACTCCTCAGCCTCCGATGCTCCAGGGAAAATAGCCCCAGCCTATTCAGCTTCTCCCTACAGCTCAAACCCTCCAACCTCGGCAACATCCCTGTAAATCTTTTCTGAACCCTTTCAAGTTTCACAACAGCCTTCCTGTAGGAGGGAGACCAGAACTGAACGCTGTATTCCAATAGTGGACTAACCCAATGTCCTGTATAGCCGCAATATGACCTCCCAACTCCTATACTCCATGCACTGACCAATAAAGGCAAGCATACCAAATGCCAATTTTACTATCCTATCTACCTGCAACTCCACTTCCAAGGAACTATGAACCTGCACTCCAAGATCCCTTTGTTCAGCAACCCTCCCCAGGACCTTACCATTAAGTGTATAAATCCTGCAGTGATTTGCCTTCTCAAAATGCAAAAGGAAACATTCTTTCCAGATCCACCTTATCCAGACCAGTCAAAATTGTACACACTGCAATCAAGTTACCCCTCACTTTCCTGAACTCTAGAACTAAGTGATACCAGGTATGGGTGTCTTGAACTGTCAGTGAAAGACTTTTGTACATACTGAAGTTATGAAAGGTGCTATATAAATGCAAGTCCTTCTTCTGACTCAGATGGGAGAATGTCACCAACAGGGCCACGTTGAAACTGTTCACAATGGTATACAGTAATTTAATGATTGTAATTAATTGTCATTTGAACATTCTTTCAACACAGTCTCTCACTGTGACATACCTGAACCTGCTTCGCACTGATCCTGAGATCAGATTCATTGAATTCGTAAGGGACATTCCAGCCAAGTGAACCAAACATCCTGCGTTCTTGAATGAGAGCGTGGAAGAAACACAAAGCGAAGAGGAGCTTCTCCCACACCTGTTAATG